AATTTCTATCAGAAATAAGAGGATGGGTAGAAAAACAGCCTGCTAATCGGAACTGCGAGGGAAACTCCAACTCCTCAAAGTCTCAATCTGGCCGCAAAATATCCTACACTCTTATTGTAGATCTTGGCAGTGGTAAAGATATACCAGACAGCAAGGACGACATTCCACCAACGTTCACCATTGTTCCTGATGAAGATATCGAGGTACCATGAGACAATATCGTGCCATAAATTCTTTTTCAGTTTTAGTGGAAAGGACAACTAGTCCATGAACTTTTCAATATTGGATATATTGAAACTGAACCGGAATTACTGTGTAGGGACTTTCGAAAAGTCATACATCTGAATTTAATTTATGTAACAGCTTTTATTTAGAAAAAAAAACAAGGATTGAATACTTGTCATATAATGCCTTGCACTTCATGTAAAACGATAACTTGGAGAAAACTCTTGTTTGAGATAAAAATAAACCAAGCGGCAGAGATTTTTGTTGTTAGTATCAATAGTATTTCTCTCCTCTGACAATTAACCTCTGGCGGGGTGAGAGCGTGGGGGGTACTCCCTCCCTAACTTTGGTAACAGACTAAAGGTGCAAAGGTACATTATTTTAGCGCTGAAAGCGCAGCTACGATCACAGGCAAACCTCTACCCTAGCCAAACAATGAGACTATACCCTATCCTAGACAAAAACTACCCTATCCCAGACGGCAAAAAGACTACCCTATCCGCGACTTGGAACTCCGAAAAATGGACCCTATCGAGCGGCACATACTCGTATAGCAAATTATACGGGAACTTCATGAAAGCAGATATTTTGACAATGGGTAAAATACAGTGTCACATAATTTAGATCTTGGTCGTCGTAAAGGGTTGCCGTGATTCCCTGCAGTGATACGTTTGGATCTTCTGAGTCGTGGAGCAGGGAAACTTGTCTGGTCTGTCTGTCTTTGTGGCTGCTGTGGACTTAGAGGGTCTGCATTGGAATCTGTAGGGAGTTGCTGACCAACAGCATTGGTTGCTGTTATTAAGAACGCTGTTGGAAGGGCTCAGCAATAGTAAGAATTCTGCATCTGTGTCGGTAGAGGATGTATCAGCTCATGGAGACTTGATGGTATTGGGTGTACTATTTGTATAGAGAGGAGAAAACAACACACCAAGTGGAGCACAACAACTTGCTTTAATGGCTACCAAAGCACACACTAGTCACGTGATTACAAAGGTAATCCACAAGTAATAACACAGGGAGCCCCTTTAACTTTGGTTGTAGGACATCTTATTATAAGAGCGACTGTCTGCAGAAAACGACCAGGGAAGTGTAAAATCGATAAAAAAACGCAGGCAAAATATTAAAAAGTTTTATTTCATAAAATGAGCGATTTTGTTCCGAGCCCACGACCGTCATATGAGGATTTTCTAGTGCGCATCATTAAAAAAAAAGTATTAAAAAAACACTGGCTTGGAGCAGACTATTAAAAAGAAAATATTATTATATGAGCATGAGAAATGACTATTTTTCGACATTCTTCTTTCCTACGCCATATTTGGCAATCATTTCAGCGAATGAAAAACATACGAAATAAACAACTATATTTAGTATGGGTGTAAGTGTTTTTCATTTATTCAGCTAATCAAGAGATAGGAAACAACTCCCCTCTATATTAAGGATGGGTGTAGTTCAGTTATTCTTAATTAATCCCTAACTTTTTTAGTTAATTGTATATGATGAGAATGAGAATGGGAGTTGTTATCAACGAGATAATTATGGACTGACGTTGTGATGACGTCAGTTCCTTTTAGTTGAAGGACAACTGGTCCGTGAACTTATTTTAGGGACTTTCTATAAGTATCGTACAAGACTCGGCTTTCTTAATATAAATTAAAGATATTTTACTTTCATTCGAATGATTTCTTGTGTCGTCGCTGATATAATATCTGTCGTACAAAATACTACGGAAAAATCCACTACACATATCAGTATACATGATCGACATGAAAACGTAGCGTAAACATCGCGACGGAAATCTTTGGCTAAGCGTTTACGCTATAGTTTGACGTAAATGTCATAACGGAAATTGGTGAAATGAATTTCCTTCGCCATTCGCAACATCGAATTTCCGTTGAAATTTCCGATTTCGGAAATTCTTGATTTCGCCCTGTGTAATGTATATGTAACAACCTAGCAAAAACAAGGATCGATTGCATATAATGCCTTGCTTTTTATCCAGTA